TTTAATCCTTCACATCCTGTCTCAGCGGCTTCTGGGTCACTCAGGCCAAGGGGCTGCAGCTTTAATTGCTGCAGTCTGTGATGCTGGGTGGTTCTTCTGTGCATGCAGGGTCTGCCATGTCCTGCTCTGCTTCTGCACTCCTTGGCTGTGCAAGGAGTGCTCTCAGGGATCCATCTGGAGCTCTGCCTCCTGCTCTGAACGTTTTCTTGTTCCTCCTAAGTTGAGTTCCTGAGTTCCTTTTAGTGCATTTGGCAGGCCCTGTCCTCGCTGTGTATCAGCAGTTTTTCAGCTCCTTTTGGCACAACCAGAAAGTCCTTTTGAAGCAAAGTGTAATAACAATAACATAGAAGCTAAAGGTAAATAAACAAACAAACCACACCTTCTTCTTTTTTTTTTTTTTTTTTTTTTTTTTTTTTTTTTTTTTTTTTTTTTTTTTTTTTTTTTTTTTTCAGCTGCGTTTTGGGAATTATTTTTATTTTTATTTTTTTAAGCAACACATAAATGCACATACAGTCTTTGTAGCCACCTCTCTCCTTCTTGTCCTCCATGGATGCCAAATGGGCCCCTTCTTCCCTGCAGCTCCCTTCTGGCTGGGCTTTGTCTGCCCCACAGGCTCCAGGGAGTTGCCCTCGTGGCTTCCCATAGATTTGCTTATGTCTGATGACCTGAAATTAGAATCCTTCCCCTTCCCTGCCCTTTGCTGTAAACGTGTAAAACCTTGCAGGTTTCCCTTAGGGAAGAAAGGGGGATTTTCCCACCATTAAAAATGAAAGGGAAGGGAAGGAGAAAGAGTTAAAACATGCTCAGATGCTTGTAAAAATGATTAAAAAACAAACAATCCCACAGCAGTGCCAATTATTCACATCCCCTCGTATAAATATAGAAACCCTGGAGAGGGGGCTCTCCCTTGGGCTACCTGCTCTGCTCTTCCATTAATTTATTACCAGGGCCCCACAGCGCTCTGCCAGTGCCGTGCTCCTGGTTTTGTTTCCTTTAGCTGGGATCTGGGGATGGTTGATGGTTGATTTTCGGCTACACGCAGTTTTTAGGTCTCTTGACAAACCTTCCTCCCCTCCCTCTCGTTTTGCCTTTTCTTCCCTCCCGTAGGAATTCTCACCGGGGTGGTGCTCCAGCTGGAGCAGAGCAAGGCTTCCCACACCTTCCCTTCAGGAGTTCTTCACAAAGGGAACGTGGGTTTATTTTTCTTTCCCCTCCTCTTCATCTGGAGCAATCACCAGCATTGTTCCCCCGGCCGTGACAGACGCGGAGGTTGCGTGTTAGCCAGACGCTTGCGAAGAGCTTTTGCAATTCCAGCTCTGCTGGCCAATTCTTTTGGGGTGTGCAGATGGTCCCCTCAGCCTTGTGTGGATGGCCACTGTCATCAGACTGTGGTTTCAGGAGCTGCCATTCTCCTCAACAGGTAGTGTAAGCCGTGGTTGGTTTAAAACAGGATTTTTCTCACAAACAAAAAATGGCGCTTTATGTGGCGTAGAAAGAAAACACGGAGAGGAGCGTGTTTGTCATTTCATTTTCACTGATTTAAAAGTCAGCCAGCTTCTGCAATCCACTAAGGTTGGTCTTGGAGCTCAGTGTCATACGGAGGTTCAGTGGCCCCAAGGCTGCCCAGAGCTCAAGGAGCGTTTGGACAACACCCTCAGGGCCAGGGTGGGATTGTTGGGGTGTCTGTGCAGGGCCAGGAGTTGGACTTGGATGGTCCTTGTGGGTCCCTTCCAGCTCAGGATATTCCACGATCCATCTCCTGTGGGTTTTATTTTGTGGAGGGCAGCCCAGGGGTGTGGGATGGAGAGAGCCAGGGCTGTCAGGCCACCAGAAAACCCTGGAGCACTGGAGAGCCTTTACCTTTGTCTCCGGGGAGGTGATGGGACAGATTGATTCCAGCAGCCATTCACATTAACTGGAGGTAATAAAGGCCAACAAAATGTGGCCTCCAGTTACAAATAAAGGGCCTGATTCTCCATTTCAGGAGATGGGATCGAAGGCTGGAGTTAGAGTGGCGTGGGACTGGGAGTGTGGGTGGGGAATACAGCCCAGAGCCACTGATGAATATTAAGTAGTTTCTGTATGCAGTGACTGCTGCTTTCTGTCTCGTATGTGCAGCCTGATGGGTTGTGGTAGAGTTACTACGGGATGAAAATTTGCTTGGTGGCCAGCTGATCTCACATCTGCAGCTGCATTTGGAATCTGACCAAAACAATGCATCAGAAAATGAAAAAGTAAATCTGGAAAGCGAGTTGTGGTCCTTCTCACCAACTTTTCCCCCTCACTGGGCAAGAGGATGTACCTGCACACTGAATTTTTCTTGCTGGAAGGGAAAGGCTCTGCTTTGAAAAGGAGCCTTTTAGAAAACTGCGCCTTCCATATTTTTCATCTTACTGGATATTCACGAGCAAAAAGGTGTACTGGATCTTTTTCCTGCCCTCTTGGCATTGCAAACTGCCCCCAGCACGTGACAGTCAGGGCTCTCTCTTTGCTGTCCCTGGAATCACGGGCAGCAGATGAATAGAACAGAATAACAAGGTGCTCCTTTCATATGTTCTCCTTCCTTACTGCGCATTTTAATCCATCCCTGGTGGTTTGCTCCCTGGGCTGGGATTGCCTTAAGTTGCTGGGCGATGAGCCCTGTGGGAACTCCTTGGCCTGGTTTTCCAAGGCGCTGTTTTGTGGCTGTGGAATAAATACAGCTGTGCTGCTGCTTCCAGACCTCCAAAGAACACGAGGAGTTTTGCACTGCCATGTGGAACGTTGGCAGGCACGCACCGGTGGATGTACATATGTGTGTGTGTGTTTAAAATGGATTATTTTGTCTTGGAAGTTTGTAAATCTTTATTTGATTGTTTGTTTGTTTGTTTGTTTGTTTTAAATGAGTTGTTCTGTGTGTGAGTGTTTACAAGTGTCCATCTCCCCCGAGAACAGTTCCTGGTGAGTTACTGGTCAGCCTCTCCCTCGGCCAGGCTCCGCTGGCAGAGCAGATGTGTCCAGGGCTCTGTGCTGGCAAGGAAGCCATGGGGCTGTGTTTGCTTCAGCCCTTCCTCCTGGTGGAGGAGCACAGCCAGCCCTGTTTTGCCAAGACTTTGTTAGAGGGAAGGCCTTGTCTGAGGCTGCTTTCAGAGCTCCAGAATTTCTGCTGCAGCAGAGCCTGGGCTGTTGGACTGAACTGGGAAGCAACAGAACCTATCCAGTGCGTATCAAAGAGAAAAATGAAAAACTGATGTTCTTCTTGAAAAGCATGACTGGGTTTCATTCAGGAAAGACTGTCCAAGTTGTAAAAGTTGATAGGAGAAAAACTTTTCAGGAAATGGTCCATGGGCCTTCTCTTCTGGAGGAGCTGTGTGTGCATGGTACTCACCTGCTCATGGCAGAGGGTGTTGCCAGCCCTTCAGCTGTACCTGGAGGGGAGAGAGGATTTGGATAAGGCAGCATCCAGCTGTAAACATCCACTTTCTAACAAACAAAGGACTGCAAGGAGAGAAGGATTTTTGCTGAAGTAGCACAGGTGGTGTGGGAAAGGAAGTGACCAGAGTTCGCATCACCCTGGAACAGATTTTACTGAGTTAAAAACTCCCCAAAAGCTGCTTCAGGATGGAAAAATCTGACAAAATCTGCCTTGTTCTTCTTTTGGTCGAGTTTTCTGGGGCAGTAGCAGGCGGATCTGAACAAAGGTGGTCGCAATTCCTTTTCCTCTGGAGGTGAGGAGTGCTCATGGCAGGGTTGCTCTCCATGTGGTGGATGCAGGTGGGGGGCAGCCTCTCGCCTGTTTGTCAGCAAGATTCCCCTCCTGCAAATTATTGGCAGCTGGCATGGTAATGAGTCCATTTCAATATAAATGAGCTTCATTTTATTAATTTCTGCCAGCTCCTGAGCAATTCATGAACTGCTATACAGATCTCAACCAACAGCTTGGGGGGAAGAGGGGGAGGTGGGGAGCAAAGAGGGGAACGTGAAGGAGGAGAAAGAAAATGAGAATATTTTTGATTTAAAAAGGTGCCAGTGACTCTCAGCACTTCTGAGATCCCAGCCAAGAGTGAGGATCCCACTTTCCCCACCAAGCAGCTCTAATGACATGAAGGGCATCAGTAATCTCTCTCCAAGGTTTTTATTCCTTGGGACTTCAGGAGAAGTTTATTCCTCTCACCATTCTGCGTACAGTGTTGAGTTGGTGGTTGGCTGGGACAAGGGGGAGTTGATGGGAGATGGGTTGGGAAGCACGACCATCCCTCTGGTGAGTTTGTACCTTCAGGCCTGGACCTTGAGCTGGGTCACCTGCAAGGGAGCTCAGCAGTGGTATGAGGCCAAGAAAGGGCTGGGATTTGGTACCCACAGGAGTGCACATGTGTGTCTAATTTAAGTCATAAGGACAGTCCTTAGGTCTAAATAAGCGCAGACTGGTCTCTCGTATCGGCGCCTTAGCGAGCGCAATTAACCCAACAGTCCTTTCACTGCGCACAAAAACACATGTAAATGCTCTGCCCTGATTGTCTGATTCGCCCTTGAAAAATGTTAATGAAATCCCTGCTTGGAAAACCGCCCTTTTCTGTAAATTAGACAGCCTGCACAGAGAAATCTCCTCCGAGGCCTCCCGGTTCCTCTCCGGGCCCTTGGGCTCCCCTTTGCTGCCAGTTCAGTCCTGGTTTATCGGGAGGTGCCTCTCCAGGTGCGTTTTGGGACCTGAGGTTTTCCAGCCCTGCCTGAGACAGACCATCCCCAGCAAGGGCACGTTGGTGTCTGTGGGGATTTTGATTTGTGGGAAGAGGAGCCCTCCACGTCCCGTTGTCGGGGCTGATGGTGCCTGGCTGGGTTTTTCATTTATTCTCTGCCACCATCAGACTTCATCACTGGAATTTGAGCACAGCATTCTCGGGCTGTACTGCCCACTGTTTCTTAGGTAAGTGATGGTGACAGGCCCTGGCAGAAGATCCTCCTGTACAGCCCTCCCTGCTGACCCTTTGTCTGATTTGTTTTTCTCCCCTCTTTCTCCCCAGGTTTTTGGCATGTAGTCATAGACTCTGACGAGGGAGTAATGGAGTCGCTGAGTGGCAGGTGCTGACAGCTTCTGCAGCCCCAGTAACTGCTCATTTTGGTGTCATTTGCAATTCTGTACCTCTAAATGCCACAGCTCTCTGGGGGAAGGTTGCGCTGGACACCGGTACTGCCTCGGAAGGTACATGTGTGTCCCTGTGTTTTTTGTTTAGGAGTTTGCTGTGCTGTGTAATGTTCGTGGGAGGGCAAAACGGTGCTTACAGTGGCTATCAAGCTGCTCCTGGTGACATCCCTTCCTCCCTCTCTCCTCCTCTTACTCGGTTTGCCTGCAGGGCCTTTTTGGAGTCCATCCCGTGCTTTCACATGTGCGAGAGTGTGGCTTGCAAAGAAGAAATGGCTGGATAAAAGGTTCTGATGTGAAAACAATGGAATATGCTGCTGGAGTTTCCCAGAAACTCAAAGGCTTTCTGTGGAATTCCAGCCCCGCTCTTGCCCTCTTGAAAAAGCACATTTTAATTACAATAAAATGTGTGTGTTCACGCTTGGTTATTAGTGCTGTACATTTTTCTACGTGGTTCTGGTGAGTTCAGTAAAAAAAAAAAAAAAAAAAATCTTTGTTGTTGGCTGGCAGATTTTAGAGAAGTTTATTTCTGTAGGCTCCTTGCCCGCTGTGGATTTGATCATTGTTCTGGTTCTCACAGCCTTCGAGCTGTGCTCCAGGAGAAAAATATGGATTTGTCACCAGGGCCTCCCACTAGAATCTAATTTTGAATTTGCAATCTGTTGTCTTGTGAGGTGCTTCAAATTTGGTTGGAAATTCGATATATTTCAGATATATTCTTCTGGAATCTGGTGGTCCAGCCTTTTGCAAGTGTAATAGTTAGTAACTTGGGTTTAATTGAAATGAGCGTTCTGGTTCTGTAATTATTTTAAGAAATATTTAATATCGAGGGGAAGGGAAGAGAAGGGAAAATTGTTGTTTTTAAAGAAAATTGCGTTCTTTGAGGGGGCTGTCACCGGTGGTCATTTGGAATGTGATAGCCTTCATGTGTAACCGTGTAAGACTCATCCAGCAAAACCTCAGCAGTTCAGCCAGAGGTCAGTGTGCTTTTCTAGGGTACCTGGTGTAGGGAACACAGCTTTTTTTTTTTCCAAAGCTTTCCTGCAGAATTTGTGTTCTCCCTGCTGGCAGCCTCATGTTGGTATCCACGTGAAGTTTGGGTTTTCAAAAAACGCGTCTCAAACCCCTGTACCCGCTTTGATGTGCAAGCTGGCTGCGAGGTGACTTTCCCAGCCCCTTGAAGACTTTCCACAGATTTGACATTTCCCCTGCTCTGAAGCAGGAAGGAGCAGATTTTCCGGGACACAGAGCCCTTTCCCAGAGCAGCCGGAGCTGGATGGTCAGGCTACCCCTTTGAGGATGTGGAGGAACAAGTTACCACCCCTCATTTGTGTGACTTGGGCTGGAGATACAAATCTGAATCTCCTTCAGCGAGCAACTGAGTCACTGCGCTGGTGCCTCTTCCAGGAGACGTGTCTGCCTCCCTGCTCTGGTTTTTCAAATCCCTCCCTCTCGGAGCCTTTAGTCAAAGGCAGCCTATTCCCACAAAAAGTTTGGGTTTTGATGAATCAACGTTTTCTGCTGAAAAGTATCCAAGCAGTCCTGCTCTCTCAGCCATGGCCCGTGTGATCTCTGGGAGCCTCAGAGTAATTCACAGCAGATTTCTGACACGTCCCAACCCTCCAGCCCTCGGCTGAGAGCGACAGACCTGTTTTAAAGCATCAAGATGTGTTACACTTGATTTATGTTGTGTCCTGGTGGTACCTTTGATAGGTCTTTAATGGTCACCTCTGGGTTTGGTGGGTGAGGTAACAAGGGGAGCCTTTGTCCTCCCAGCACTTGCGTGCAGCTCCCATTTAACATTACTCATTTTCTTAATTTGATACAGATTTTTTTCACTGAGTGTGCTAAAGGCAGTTAAGCCACAGACAGGCAGCATCTGGCAGTCGTAGCTGGAGCGGTTTAAGATGCTTTTGCCTCAGGGTGTCTGCTGTGGCCCTTGGGAGGGGGAGGCTGGGGCTCCCCTCCCCTGCCCAGCTCCTGCCAGCTGAGGACTCTGGCATCTGCTCCAGTGCCAATTCATCTTTCATTGCTGGCTTTCCACATCTGCCTGGGCTCACCTAAGAGCTCACTGGTGCCAGAAAATGCAGAGGTGCCACTCACTGTCCCCTCTTCCCTGGCCCCTCTGACTGTGCTGCCCCTTCCTCTCCCCGCTGGGTCCCCAGATGGGCACCCTTGTGCTGCCCCTGGCACATGCCAGGTCAGCTCACTAGCTCAGCAAAAACTAACTAATAAACTCTTCTTTCTTTTTTTTTTTTTTTTTTAACCTTGGATTTATTTTCTGCTGTTTTAGTGGACTCTGCTGCATGAGCACTCGAATTGGTTCAGGGTAACTGGTGGAAATGCTCAGCCAGGAATGTGGAGGGGAGGCAGAAATGGGGGTGAGAAAGTAGGATGGGGGACCCCACAAACGGTCACCCTCAGCTTGACCTGGTGGGGTTGACTGTCCCCGCCCACGGTGTGTCCTGAATCTCCCAGGGGAGATGGGCTCTGCCAGGGGATGGTGACAAACCTCAGGGATGGCACCGTCTTGTATTGCTGCAGCTGGATCCGAGCACCCCGTCTGCCTGCAGCCCTCTGGCACCCACCCACTGCCCAGCATTCCTACAAACCTGCAGTGCAGTGCCAGGGAAGTCGGAGGTGATCAGGGCAGGAGTGAGCTCTGGGTTTATCTCAGGAGAGATCCACCCCAAGTGCCAATCCCCGGAATTAAAAAGGGACAGCTCTTTACTTTGAAGTCTGACACTTCTTGCAATTACTTAGCGGGTACTTCTCATGGTGTGACATCACTCCCTGAACATTCCTGCTGCTGTCTGCAGGGGTTCCTGGGCTACTGTTCCTCTCTTTGCTGGTCATTTGTGGCTCTGTTGCTTTTTGGCTGGGTGAGGTCTTGCCTGGTGTGGATGGAGACCGTGCCAGGGTGGTGGCACAGGGCAGCTTTCCATCAGCCCGGGGATGCTCCTGCCCTTCGGCAGCTCTGGTTTGGAAGGTAAAGAATCACTCTTCAATCACTCCGGGTTTCAAGAGGACTTTAAAAATTGCTTTTTCTCCTTAGGTGGAGAAGTGATGGTGTGGGGAGGGGGTCATAAATGGCTGCAAGGCTCTGCAGGGCTGTGCAGCCGGTGGAAATCCTGCCGGCTGGAAGTGCGGTTAGCAGAAGCGTGGAGCTCAGAACCAAGGCAGCTAAAAGCATTGCCCCAAGGGTTCCTTTTGCAACATGGGGAGTGTTGAGGCCTGCTTTTAGATATCTGTGGAAGAAAAAAATACAGGTTTTGTGCTTTAAAGTGTTCTAGAAGCAAAAACTGGATGAGATTGTGTTTCAGTCTGGCCTATATCGAAGGGCTGTAGCTTTTAAGGGATAAACCATGTTTAGGGACCGATAATGCTGTCTTTTCTTTTGGATTTAAACTATCCCTCTCTTCAGTGCATTTCTTTTTCTAAACAGTGCGTGATAACCAAGTCATGGCAGCCAAAGGGAGTTCTGCCATTCATTTTGGCAGACGTGGGGAATTTCCTGGTGTAGTTTACTTCAAATGCGATTTTATTTATTTTAGATAGAGAAATGTCCAGAGGTTTATAGAGGTGTCTGTTGCTCCAGCACTGAACAGACTTTTAGCCTCAGCCATGACCCATTTCCTTGGTTAGAGGAACAGAAGCAGAGTCCTCTGGCTGTGGTCAGAAGTGTTACTGCAGAGTTCAGTCCTGCTGTACACCTCCAGGGCAGAAGTGCTGTCCCTGTGTTTAATGCCCTTGATTCCTCACTTTCCATGGAATTAATGTAGGGCTAATTCAGTGCTGTGCAGCAGCAGTGGTGTGGATTTAGATATTTAGAGGGAAAATGTATGGTCACATTCATTCTGCCAGCATCTGGCTCAGAACCCATCAGGGCATCCCAGCAAAGGAGAGGAAAACGTCCCAAGAAATTAAAAACTCCATTGTTTTACTCTCAGGGCAGCTTTTTTCTCTTCAACCAAGACTAATGGAAATACCTCAAAACAAAGATGTTTTGCCTTGGAATTTCTGTTCAAGATTGATGGACTATTTATCTCTGTATAATTGTCTTGTGTGTAATTCGGGGTCTCCTGTTTAATTTTGAATGGCTGTGAACTTCAACGTTTACTTTTCTTATTCTTCTTCTTGCCCTTTGGCCAGAAGGACCCAATACTACTGATAAAATATTTCTGACATTTGTTGAGTGAGATCACAGACCTCAGAGTGTTTTCCAAAGGTTGAACCAGATCATCACTCCCACCTTCTGGATGGGAAACCTGTTTCACGGCGGGATGTGCACGGGTGAATAATGCAGGAGGATGGGGTTGGGGACAGAAACCCAGTCCCTGCATTCCAGCTCAGATCAAAGCACTTGGATCTCGCTATCTGCTTCAGAGGGAGTGGGAAGGAAAGGTTATTTTTGTATAGTCTGAGTCACTCATGCTAATTTATTTTTCATAATGTGGCTTTCTTGTGTGGGGCTTTCTGTACCTGCTTAATGTTGCACTGTTTTTTTGTTCCAGAAATCAAACCTGTCATTAGCTCGCTGCCAAATGGTAGGATTTGTACTTTGCTCTTTGGTGCTTTAGCTTGCAGTTCCTAGCCAAAAAAAAAAAAAAAAAGTGAAATCTCAGATAAAGGTGTACAGCCCTCTACTTTTTGGCATCTTGTTACACGCAGATAAGCAAGAGCTGTTGATTTTTTTCTGAGTTTGTTGGCTGGAGTGACAAAGCTGATGCTGAGGGTCAAGTGAATGTGTGCAGAGCTGAGACTGCACTTTGGTGCTAAGCTGGTTCCAGTTCACACCAGGCTTCAAGGCTCAACCCTTCCCTCTAGAATTCTGCAGGGCTGTTTCCTACGTTCCCATTTAACTTGAGTTGTATTTCTAAGTTTGCTGGTGTGCAGCTGCTTAATTAATTCTGCGGGATTAGCCGCTGTAGTTCCAGCGGGTCCCGGTGGAATCTGTGGCGCGGGGTTTGGGACAGGTTCAGTAATTAAAAAAAAAAAAAAAAAAAAAAAAAAAAAAAAAAAAAAAAAAAAAAAAAGCCAGGCTGGTTTTGGCGTGGTGGGTGTTTCTGCGTGTCTCCTGCCCGTAACGCTGCCGCTCTCTCCCCTCGCAGACTGTGACGCCATGGGGAACGCGGAGAGCCAGAGCGTGGAGCACGCCTTCTACGGGGACAAGCACGCCGGCCTGGGCCGCAAGCACACCTCCCGCTCCCTGCGCCTCTCCGGCAAGGCCTCCCGCCGCTCCCGCCACGCCTCCTCCGGCAAAATCATCCACCGCAACTCCGAGGTGAGCACCCGCTCCAGCAGCACGCCCAGCATCCCCCAGTCCCTGGCGGAGAACGGCCTGGAGCCCTTCGCCCCGGAGGCCAACCTGGAGGACTTCGGGAGCCCCATGTGGGTGGACCGCGTGGACATGGGCCTGCGGCCCGTGTCCTACCACACCGACTCGTCGGTGACGCCCAGCGTGGACAGCAGCACCGTCCTCACGGCCGCCTCCGTGCAGAGCATGCCCGACTCGGAGGAGAGCAGGCTCTACGGGGACGAGCCGCCCTTCCTGGCGGAGGGCGACGGCAGGGGACACCGGTACGCGGCCAACGGCACCGGCTTCATGGACGCGGCCAGCTTCAAGAAGAAGCGCTCCAAGTCCGCCGACATCTGGCGCGAGGACAGCCTGGAGTTCTCGCTCTCCGACCTCAGCCAGGAGCACTTGACGAGCAACGAGGAGATCCTGGGCTTGGCCGAGGAGAAGGACGCCGAGGCCGCCCCGGGCACGGAGGCCGGGGGCAGCCCGCAGGCCCTGGTCGCCTGCCAACGTGCCAACTCCATGAGTGACTTGTATTCCCCCAAAACCCCGGGCGCTGCCATGAACGGGGGCCCGCGGAACGCCTTCGGAGGGTACTGCCGGAACCTGGTGTCCGACATCCCCGATATCGGGAGCCATAAGATGGCCTCGGTCACCGCCGAGGACGCGCCCTCTTCCTACAGCAACTACAACACGCTGCCCTGCAGGAAGTCACACTGCCTCTCCGAAGGGGCCACCAACCCCCAGATCAGCCACAGCAGCAGCATGCAGGGCAGGAGGGCCAAAACCACTCAGGTAAGGCACTTTTCTCCCATGCTGAGCCGAGTCTGTAGGTAAAAGGTGTTCCAGGTTCTCCCAGGCTCTTGTTTTCCTCCAACGCCACCTTTCCAAGAATGGAGGTGTTTCCAGGAGGGAGCTGAACAAGCCGATCTCCAGAGCTTCTCTTGAGCCCGTCACCGCTTCCTTCCTTATTTGCAGCTCTCTTTGGGCCTTTTCCACTCTCTGCTGCCTCTGGAAGAGATAAATCTGGATTTGCCAGCTAAAGAGTTTCTGCATGCTTTGCAGTGCTGACAGTGCCTTTTTTTCCCAGGGTAGCTGCCAAAATGCATCACTCCACTGCGGAGCTTGCGCGTGTTGTGTCCCCCCTGTCTGCCCTCCCTGCCCTGTCACCCTCCCCTGCCTGCACCCTGGGAGCACTCGTGGCTGGAGGCAAAGAAACCCGTGAGTGCTTGCCCTCCCCTCTGTAGTAAACACTGGCTGGGCTGAAGTGTCACTCTTCCAGTTAGCTGACATTCACATCTGTGCAAAACGTCACCCCGAAACAGTGCTGTCCCCTGAACAAACAGTGGTTCTGATGGCAGGTCAGTGGCAGAGAGGTGGGGAGGAAGGAGAAACCAGGAGAGAGGAGCCTGTGCCCCCACCTCAGCTGGCACTGACCCGTGGGAGCTTCTGGGATGGGGTCACAAAAGCAGCTCTTGGTTTTTGGAGGTAAAACCCCTTGGTGCGCCAGCAGGGTAAAAACCAAGAGAACAACAAGAAGCAAAAAAGAAAAAAAAAAGATGTTATTTGGCAGCCTTGGAGGTAACAGCTTTTGTGGAGATTGTTAGGTACAACTGCTGCCTCCAGCCTGCTTTCTAGAAAAGGAGAACAGTGTTGGTGGTGAACAGCAAAGCATTTGTTTGTCGTCTTCTTGGTGCCTGTCCTGGCATTCAGAAGATTCCTCTGAGGCAGGTAGTGAAAGTTTGTGAATTTAAGTAGTGTTTTGTGAGGCCTCAGCCATGCCCAGGGAAATAATTTTGTGGGGCTGGTTTCACTAGGTGTATCTCTCCTGAGACTGGAGACGGTGGCTATAAGGAGTCTCAGCGGTGATTATTACCACGGATAAATTCAACAAAATTAAAGCTTTGGAAAGGTCAAAATTCCTCCTCCCAAGTCTTTAATCCCAGCAGCATCCAGTAAGTATAAGATTCTTGTCAGCAGTGAAGTCATGTTAGCCCAAGCCTCCCTTTAGCAAGCTGAGGGAAATGACTGTCATAATGTGTTTGATAGAGCGAAAAGGAAGTCCAGATTTGCACACAAAGTGAAAGGAGTAGTTCCTTGGTGAACCTGATGAGGTGGCTTTAGAGGGAAGTGACCAATCTGTGTCTGTGCCAGACCCCTGTTGCCAGTCCTCACAAGAATTTGGGGTTGTGTTGGCCAGTGGGGTGTTTTTTTTTCCAGTTTTTAGAAAGTTGTAGCTTGGATATTTGCCTAGTTTTTTAAGTCTCAGCTGCCCTGGAAGTTCCTGATGGTCACTTGTAGGTGCCTTTTGACTAGTCTAGTTCTGTGCATCACCATGGTTTCCATGTGTTAAATTCACTAGAAGTTGTGACTAGCTGCATTTTTTTTGTGCCAGGCTGACCACTGGAAAAATTTATCCTGGAATGTGTCACAGAAACCAGGTGCCAGAATCGTGGCTATACAAGCTTTGTTCCCATGCCTTATCCACGGGTTCTTTGCAAGTACGTGGTTTACATAAAAAGGGGGGAAAAACCCACCCTGAAAAACACAGCAGAAAATCTCTGCCTTCCAAATTTAAACCTTAAATTGAATGGTGGGAGTCGCTCTCCACTAATTGAGGGGAGCTTTATGGGGAGATAATTATATTCGATGTGCACAAGCGATTAGCGCTCACAGGGTGGCTCTGGGGCACCCACGCAGCAGCTCTGCTTTTCCCAACATTTTAAACGTTAAGGGTTCGGATCTGCTGAGCGAGACTTCCCGGAGAGCTCTGCTGGGATCACGTTGGGCTTTTGGAGCTGATGTGATGTAGGTGGAAAGGGCTTAATTGGCTGACATTTTCACCCGTTTTTGCTTGAAGGGAGACAAGCACCGGGGTGGATACAGCTTGTTCTGTCTGTGGGCTGTGAGATCCCCAGGATCCTGGAAGCCTGTTTGTTGGGATCCAGATTTTGTGAAATGGCTCTGTTGTGTCCTGTTTGTAGCTAAACATCTGCCTGCAGGAGACTCCTTCCTCCTCCTCCTCCTCCTCCTCCTCCTCCTCCTGCTGGTAGATGTTCAGGGACAAATGTAACCCACTGCTTCCCTGATGTTAGGAGCCCTGATTAAGGTTTCAAGAAGGGAATTTGCCTGGAGAAGCTGTGGCTGCCCCATCCCTGGAAGTGTTCCAGGCCTGGTTGGATGGGGTTTGGAGCAACCTGGTCTAGTGGAAAGTGTCCCCGCCCATAGCAGGGGGTTGGAACTGGGTGGTCTTGAAGGTATCTTCCAACCCAAACCCTTCTATGATTCCTTGAATTAGTGGATGGGAACATTGAGATACGGCTTTGTGCCGCTTCCAAGCCTGTCTTGCCACCTCCTTATTCCAGTCCAGGTCTGTGGGGGACTGAGGATGTTTTAGAAGCATTTTTAGAGCCCGGTGAGGACCCTGTGTGCTGTAAAATCCAGGGGGACACAGCGGCCGAAGCATTTCCCCACGGTCCCCTCTCACGAGGAGGATGGCTCGTTCCTCTCCAAGCTTTTTGATTTCCTCTGGAAAGCTCAATTCCAGTGTTCCCATGGGGCCCTCCAGTTTGTTTACAGGACTTTTGAGAAGGAGCAACAGCTCTGCAGGGAAAGGAAAGGTTTTTTTATCGTGTCCAGTGCAGTGTTAGTTGTGAAACTGAGAAGGGAGAAAGGGAACAAACTTCCTGCTCGACTGACTTGGAAACTGCACTGGCTTCAGCGCCAGCCCCGGGCTGTGTCCTTGGCGTGTTAAATCCCCTTTTGTCCAATTTTCTTCAAATTTATTACTATTTTTAGGCTTCTCTAGGTAGCCTGAAGGAATTTGGGATTCTCAAACCTTAAAAAAAAAAAAAAAAAAAAAAAAAATCCTACATAAAAAAAATTTTGCAGAATATTCAGGAGATGAAACCAAAGGGGCTTTGTGGGAATTAGATCAGGGCGTACAGAGAAACCTGTCTAAAATTAGACAGTCTTTCCAGTCCATATTATTTTTTTACTATCTCAGGGAATTTTGTAACAGGTTACACTGTCCCATTATGCTCCATAGGATGGCTGAACTCCAGAGAGCTGATACTTGGGTTTAAGTTGTGTAAATCTTTTTCACAAAATGGTTTTGTGGCGTAGAGGATGCCACTTCAGCATGGACAAGGGCCACACTGGGTCAGTCCCATAAAAGCACCATCCAGCCTAATACCATGTTTCCCCCACTACCAACTGCCCAGAAAAAAAAAAAAAAGGAAGAAAGAAACTGGGAGAGTATGAGGTGAACTTTCCTTTAGGGCAGAAGATGGGAGATTTGAGCTTCCTGTGCAAGGAATGCATCCAAGGCTGTTGGGTTGACCTGTCCCCCATGAATTCTCTTTTCTGAAATAATTTTCTTCTCCTGGCTTCCCCTGCATCCTGTTCACTCTCTGCAGAGTACTTGTGACCTTCCAGCCTGCTCTTACAGCCCTCCTTGGCCACGGCTTTTCCAGGCAGAGCATGTCCAGCAGCTGAAGCTCTGTTCCTATTAAAGCAATCCTGTCTTTAGCCTGGAAAACAGGGCTGTTTTCAGCCTCACTGTGATTCCTAATCAGACTGACACAGACCTTTAATCTTAGTTGTTTGACTCCAGATGGAATCAAGGAAAGAAATTCAGACAAAGTAGTGCGACGTTAAATGACAATTAATGACAGGTAAGGTGTAAGTAGCTAAAATCAAGATGTTCCTGGCTTGCAGCTGCAGTGGGGATGTCACTGATTCCAGCCCCTGTCCCCGCAGTGCCTTTCAGGCAGAGGTTGTTCCCGAGGTCTGAGCCAAATCTCCCAGAAGCTGGAGGTCTGTGAGTGGGAAGGTTTGGCTCAGGTGGCTCCCCCCGGGCAGCACTGGTCACTGTGCTGAGCCCCCAGGCCAACAGCCCTGTTAAACCCAAATATCTCTGCCTCCAGCCACCAGCCACGGGGCTCCCAGGTGAGGGAAGGGCTGGGAATGGGCTGGGGGAAGGGGAAACCACACGGGTTTTTAGTCAGGCTGAGCTTGCACCAGTGTGAGCTGCTTGTGAATCCACATCTTGGGTGCTGGTGTGGTGGGTGTGAATGACCGGCCCCATTTAAAGTCTAGACCAAATAGCCAGGCTGACTGGAAGTGGATTCAGGGTGAGCCTGGAGGAAGGGCTTCCCTGCTCTGTCACTGGGCTGCCCTTCCCACCTGGGGGAGATTAGATCAGGCATTTCCTCTTCAAGGTATTTTAAAGCAAATAGTCACTCCCTTCAGAGCACACAACTCTGCCCCAATATTTTCAGGGAAAGGAGCATGTGAAAATTGGTGTTTTGGTCTTCACTGGCAAATATTTTGATACTCCCTTCAAAGATCTTAATTTGTTTTTCTTCCTTCGCTCTTGGTTGGAAGCCAAGGGAAAGCAAGTCACCACTCCTGATATTTGATCTAGCTCCATTCAGGCCTGGGTTGTTTTTAAACAGTAATACTTTGTCATTTATACATGTGAAGTGCTTGTGCCACTGGCAATAATTGTATTCTCAGTAAAGTTACATACACTGCGTGGTTTTTTTTTCAATTTCAAGTATTTTGCACTCAAAATGGATGCAGTTTGCAGGAGTGATCCTTTCCAGTGAAGTGCTCCCTCGAAATGTTTCTTTCCAGAGAGCTTCAGCATGTGATCCTGTGACTAGTTATCATCCCAGATGTCAGGCACTTCCCTGCTCCCTTAAACTGGGTGGTTGTTCAGGTGAACTCCTCACAGATATTTTTTGATTTCAAGCTGCTTTTCTAGTAGCCCCTTTCCCGTTTCTGCCCCC